CCCCCATCTCGTCCGCAGTCGCCCCCTGCATGCCCCTCGCCTGCAGGCAGTTGGCGCTCCACCCGCCGTCCTTCGAGGCGCCGTCGATGTAGGCCTGCAGCTCGCCGCTCAGCCGGGGCAGGTCCAGGAACACGTGGCGCGTCGAGCGGACGACGGGCTTGGTGCCGGTGATCTTGCAGCGCGGGTTGATGAGCTCTGTGGGGTTCATGAGGCTGCCGCAGTTATCGCACTGGTCACCACGCGCATCCTGTGAATAAAATGCAGGGCGGGCGGGGTGCGCGGTTGATGGGCCGGGACGGGGGCGAACGGCTGCGAAAACAGGTGTTTGCTGAGCACGGCGCAATAAGATTCTTGTTTAGCTGGGCCCCAAAGGATGACGAGGGCGGCGCGGCGGCTGTTGTGGCGCGCACCTCATAGCCGCACTTGGGGCAGGTGCCCGACACGAAGCGGTCCGCCAGGAACTTGCCCGCGGCCTGGGAAGTGAGTCGCGTGAAAGGCCAGGGTTTATATTGTGTGAGGCATCCACAGCAGTCGGCGCACAGAGGGTCCCCGGCGCAGCCTCGGCACGCCCACGCCTGGACAAAAGCATCAGCGAGAAAAGCCGTGCATGCCTTCCTCCAGGCCGTAGCCGGCTCGCATCCCGAGGATGGCCCCATCACGGCCTTCAACCCCATGCCAGTGGGCGCGAGGAAGCCGCGGTTTGCAACAGCGAGCCCTGCATTCATCCGACCTCAAAGTCGCACAACGCAAACCCACACAGGACCCCAGTGCCCTCGGTCAACCCAAGTCTGAGCACACACGACCCGATTTCCTGCCTCCCGACCCCACCTCGCTGTACAGCTGCTCCATGGACTGCTCCAGGCAGTTGCCGCGCTCCCACAGCTGCCTGGGGGCGGTTTCGAAAAGTAATGTGAGGGAAGCGGTTGAGAGGGAGGCACTGCGCAGCGGCTGGAAAGTCAGGGCGGGCGAGACACACCCTGCCGCGGCCGAGTCAATAGCTGTGGACCGCGCAAGATGGCAAAACACATGCCGGCGCCGCAAACCACGATCAAGGCAGGGGAGTGGGGCCGGCCCTCACAGGAAGAGGTCCTGGCAGATCTGCGTCTGGTGGCGCGTGGGGGTGCGGCCAAACTTGTCTGTGCTGATGCCAAACCACTCGTAGATGCCCTTGTGGATGGCGTGGTACTTGTCGCAGATCTGAGGGTGAACAGGGAGTTGGCAATGGGTGAGAGCGTTGCGCGGCAGAGGTCATGGCGGGCGTGGGCACACTGGACTTGGAAAGTTACTTTGTTGTTGATTGGTAGTCACTCGTGCTCGCCACGCACCTTGCTGCCATGCATAATCCTTAAAAACACACACAAATACCACAAACTCACACACATATACACACACAAACATACACACACACACACACACACACACACACACAAACGTGCGTGCGCATAACCTGCACCTACATGATCTACACTCCCCTGCACACAAGTAGACATGCGCATGCCCTCAACACACACACAAACACACACACACAAACACACACATGCACACCCATATACTCATAAGCAGCGCGCAAACACGCGACCCACACCTGCTGGCAGGTGAGCCCCTCCTCCAGTGCCTTGGTCTCAGTGGCGGTGCCGTACTCGTCTGTGCCGCACACAAACAGCGTGTTGTAGCCGCGCGACCGGCAGTAGCGCGCGTAGCAGTCGGCGGACAGCACGCAGCCGATGATGTTGCCCAGGTGGGGGACGTTGTTCACGTACGGCAGCGCGCTCGTGATCTGGGTGGAAGGTGGTGCGGGTGGGGTGCAGGGGAGAGGCAGGTCGGGGCAGCGCCACGGGTGGCAGGCGAGCGTGGGCAGCGCGCGCTGCACGCCATGCACGCAGGCCCCGCTGGATCCCAGCAGCCTGTGCCAAATTTCAGGCACACACGGCCGCCAATGCGCCGCGCCACGGAGATCCGCCTACCAGCACGTTCCGCCGCGCCTTGGCGGGCCGCTTGGGCACCGCCGCCGCGTGCGCCGCCGCGTCCGCCTCAAACGTCGCCACCAGCGCGCCCTCCTCCGCGCCGGCCAGTGCGACAGCCAGCGCCGCGGCGACGGGCAGCGCCGCCTCAATGCGCGCCAGCAGCTCGCTCACCGCCGGCGGCGCGGCCGAGAGCGCGCCGCGGCGCTGGAGGGGCAGCAGGGTGCAGAAGACTGCGGCCTGCGGGCGGGTCAAACAAGGCGGAGGGTCCCGCCAGCGCGCGCCCGGCGCCGTCAGCCACGTGCCAGAGGACGCTGAGGTTCTGGATCCCCCTGCGCTAAGGGCGGGTTCCTTGCTGCTGCTGCTGCTGCTGCTGCTGCTGCTGCTGCTGCTGCTGCTGCTGCTGCTGCTGCTGCTGCTGCTGCTTTATCAGGCAGCGGTGGGCTTGCTGCTGCTGTGTAGACCGTGTTCTAGAATGTTTTGCAGCTGGCGCCGTGCGTGGGCAATCAAGGGCGCTGGCGGCCAGTTGTATAGCCCTGCAAGGCAACCCACAGCGCTGCTGCAGAGCAAGCACGCCCGACCGTTTCCCGTTCAGCAGCCGTTCAGCAGCCAATCATGGATGCATCCAATCAAGGAACTCGCGCTCAACACAGCGCGCAGGTAACCCTCGCACGACCGCTGCCCACTCACGTCCGCCAGCGACGGCACCTCGCCGCCTGCCAGGAAGCTGCCCGCCGCCGCCGACGCAGCGAGCTCCGCCAGCGCCGCATCCAGCTGCTCCCCGCCCAGGTAGCTGGCCGGCCGCAGCACCGACGCCTCCCATTCGAGCCATTGCGCGTCGCGTGGCGCGGTAGCGCCAGACGGCTTCAGCGTCGAGCCCTCTGCAGTGAGTCGCGCGGCAGATGGATGGCAGGTCGGCGCTCGATGGCATGTGCTAGACTGGCATGCCAGGCAGGCGGCAGGGCGACGCGCCCCCAGCATGGCAACGATTACTATGTCTGCCGCAAGTGTCGAGCGCAGCAGGGCCAGCAGCTGCTGCACATGGGTTGTGCAGCGGCGCATTCCATGAGCAGCAGAGCGGGCGGCGGCCGACACGCGGTCGGTTTGCGTGTCGCCTGCGAGCCCTCACCTGCCAAAAACGATGCCACTGCATTGGGCTCGGCAAGAGCCGCGCCTTCCGAGAGCGCCAGGGACACGCTGGGCGTACCGAACGCGTTCTTGGGGTCAGCAACGACGAACGCTAGCTCTAATCCAGACACCTGAGCAGATATGCACGCCTTTAGGGCCTGAGCGTCGCCTGGGCGAGCCGAGAGCTTCGGGCTCGCCATCCCGACGACCAAAGCGATCTAGCAAGAGAAGATCGCAACAAATCAATGTATTTGATTACATAGACGGTTACGAATGTACGCTCAATAGGCATTAAAACATTGCCCAAGTGAGGAGCTTTTGGTATCTAAGAAGCCAAATGAGCTTGGCGCCATGCACCATTGATTGAAAACGATGCTGAATTGTCAGAATGACCAACCCTCAGAGCTTCGCAGGGGTTGCAGCTGCCAGGGCATGGCATTCTTGGTGGGTGCTCGCACGAGTTGACTATGCACCGAGCACCGTGCATCAAGTTGTACCAGTTGGGGCGATGCTTGGCTGTGGGCGCTGGGGTTTCAAGGCATGTTTGTGACTGGTACAACTCTACGTCATGTTGCCAGCAACCCGTCCAGTGAACTCGCTTGTTACCCATCCCACTAGACAACAAGGCGGAACCCTCCAGGTGACGCCAAATTACCCGGGGGCTTCCGTTGGTGGGGCACATGCTGGCGGCACTCTGTCAGCTGGGGAGCGTACGGTGCAAGGCAAATGCAGGCTGGCCTGCACGCAAGTCACGACTGCAGGCTTGCCGCGACGTCCATTGCACTGCGCCCATCACATGCTGATGAGCACGTCGTCTCATATGCAAGCATACCGGCGGACCGGTGCTCAAACGGGTGCAAATTTACATTCCATGGCGAGGTACTTATTGTCAGCTATGAAGCTGACCAGCTGGGGAAGGGCGGGGCTGGCACATGCGGTTGTGCCAGACAATGTTACAAGCTCTAGCAATCACCAAAGCAACCAATAATGGCACTGGCACGACTTGTGGCAAACGGGAGAGGTTTCTGTAACACTGCTGTCAAGTCGTCACACAATTTGATACGCTCATTGGCGCTCACATTTTTTTGGATCTAGCAGGACGGATGATGCGTGGCCGCCTGCATGTGGTAATGCCGGCGCCTGGTTTTGGGTGTCTGTGCCTGTCCCTTGCTGAAGCGCCCGTTAAGATAAATTTGATCTGTATCAAAGCGTTTAAGGTGAATTCTGGGTTCAATCAGCCAGCAAGCCTGAAGCACAGCGACAAGGCAGTGAGAGCACAGCAGAACAGGGTGTGGGGCCTGCCGAAGCGGTGGGCCCCATGTGTCGGCCACCACAACAGCTTTACTATCACGGCACTGTCACCTGTACCGTGTGGCTTCCCTGGCGGGATCGATCAATACATGGCCATAGTTTGCAACTAGAGAGGACCACTCACCAAACTAGGGAGGTTTGCCTTCAAGCGCTGACACCATGAAGTCAACCACCACCACCATAAAGTCACCTGGACACCTGCATCGTCACTCCAGTGGCACTGTTATCACCTTTGTACACCCCTACCTTTCCATCCGAGGCGGCTCTGCTCTTTTCCCTTTTGGGAACAGCATCAATGCCATAAGTGACAGCGGGTGCAAATGGCACACCACATGGGTGCCTCGAGCAGGCTTTACAATAGCAGGCCGCCTTTCAAAAGACTGTGATGTGTCATAGTCGCGGAGCTCAGAAATTGGGTCTATACCCTCCCGTATACAATGATTTAGCAGATAGCGGTACCGGTAGGCAAAATATCTGCACGTTGAGTCCTCGTCTCCACCTGGTACACAAACGCCAAAAACAACATGAGATATTATTTGCATGATTTGGTTTGGATTTCAGCAGGCGTAACATTTTACTGATTTTCGGCGGTTGACCAACGTGGAAAAAAGCCGTCTGGATCGAAGGCCGCATTTCACCACAAACATAGCCGAAGGCGGAGGCATAAGGCGAAACAGTAGTCCTACATCATTCAGCCTTTTGTCCGCCGTGCATGCTCACAACCGTGCAGGCCCCAGTTTACCTGGATCACTTACGAGGCCCGGCGCTTGACAACAGAAATTGTGTATCCATATAGATTTTTGAGTCATATCGGCGCGTGGCAGTACCACGCGGCAGTGGTGCTGGCTCGGGCGCAGTGCAGCGTCGGTGCAGCGTCGGTGCAGCGAGCAGCAAAGAGCGCGTCCCGGCTGGCACATCCCCAGCACCAGCCGATTTCAAGCTTGCCCTTGCATCATCAAAGATATGAGTCGTGGGTTCGACCAAGGTTCCCCCGTCAACCGCCGGGATGGCGGCAGAGCGCACGGCGCGGGGTCGTCTTCGCAGCGCGCAGGTATTCAGACGCATTGGCATAGGTTTACAATAAACTTGCGTGGGCAAACAAAGTTTGGCGCCATGTACCGGCTACACCAGTGCGTGCAAGGGATGCAGCAAATGGCGAGGTACAGCGGCGGTGCCGCCCTCACCATCATCACCGGCGAGGGGAGCCACTCAGCGACGCGGCCACGACGAGGTGCATCCGACGGTGACGAGTCGACAGCTGACGGAATCGCCGCTACATTACACGACGAGGTGCGTGCGTGCGTGCGTGCGTGCGTGCGTGCGTGCGTGTGTATGCCAGGCCTTGATGACTGGCCAAGTCTTAGATGTCAAACGAAGGATGCTCGCGCGACTGGCATGACCTCTTCGTTGCCTCTGATCACCTGGCACATAACAAACCTGCCTCTGACTGCCGGCAAGCCTTGACTGTGTTCTCAGCAACACTACCAGCTTCTGCCAATACCGTACACCTGATTCCCACGGCCGCGAGTGCGCAGGTCGTTGAGTACATCCTCCGCCACGAGCTCCCTTTCACCCAGCCGGACGGCGACTCTGGACAATTCACCATCTACCTGATGACTGAGTGAAACTCTGGAGGCGCCCGCACAGCAACATCAACGATGTTGCAAGATGAAGGCATCGTACAGGAGCAAGATCTTGGCAGTTGAGCCATTCGCCCAGCCCTACCTGACACCAGGGCAGCCCGACGGATTGTCGGCGCCAGCGCCGGCCCCCGCTTAAGACGTGCCAGGCGCTAACTGCATGCACACAGCTGCGCACCCTGCAGGTCTGTCTGTGCCGCAGTTGGCTCTGGTACATTTGCAACCCACACCCACCAAACGACGCACAAGCACGCACCATGGCATCTCCAAGGCCTCCAGACCTGCTTGGCCACCATGCATGATGGCCAAGCGGAAGCACATGAGTGCCCGTGTAGGTGCCTCCACTGCTAGCCGCAGCATTTTGTTTTTGTTGCATAACCATGATCACGTCAGATTTCACACACGGAATGGCGGGGCGCTTACATATGTTTTTGTGTAACTTGCATTTGGCTGCAAATTCCTGACAAGCAAACACGCGCGTCGCTGCACAGCAAGCGCCACACATCGCAGCTCGTAAGCGTTCCACTGGAGTGTTGCAACCTGCACATGGCACTGCGGACCTGATGCCTCACAGCTGTCCAGTGTATGGTCAGCCCGCAGTAATGCGTACGATATTGCTTGGCATACAGCATACCTGGCGCAGGTGGAGGTTGCAAGCAGCAACAAAACACCGACTGCGCTGCTTGGGTCAGGCGTTGCTGATCCACGCACACTCCAAGACAATTCCCAAATCTCGGAAAGACAACGGCAGCAGTCAACACAGGCCACAAACATCACTGCGACCAAGTAGTTGATGCCGAGGTGAGTCACATGACATGACCTGCATGGACGCACTTGCAGGGCAATCACATCCCCCGCCCCAGCCACAAACATGGGCTCTGCCGCGTCGACGTGTTGGTTGGCGTGCTGTGTTGTATTTGCAATCAGTGGCTGCACGGCGGAGCACTTGACAAACATTTGTGTCGTAAAAGCAGGTGGCACAAACCCTGGGGTATGTCATTGGCTCGCCCGGGAAGAAGCAGCTCAGCCATCACAATGCTCGATCACGGCAACGAGCGCAGTCGATCGCCAGAGGGCGGGAGTGCAGTTGCGCACACATCCAACGTCAGTGGCAACCCCGGTGACTCCAGCATCACCTTGGACCAGCAGGTGCTGGGAGCACACCTCCCCAACCGCATTTGCTCCTGCGCTTTCGCCTTCGCATACCAAGCTTAAGTGCACTGTGTTAGCGTCTGCTACAATTATAGCAATATCTGTAATTATAGCAATATCTGTAATAATCATTCCTGCATTAGCATACACCCTCCTACAGTGCTCCGACCTAACTCCTGTTGAGTCGCCCCACAATTTGGTGCGCTCCTTGGCGTTCACAAGGTCTTGCATCTAGCAGGCCGGATTACCGATGCGGCTTGCATGTGGTAATGCCGGCGCCTGATTTGTGAGTTTGGGACAGGTCTGTCCCTGTCCCTTGCCTTAAGTTGATCGGTATCAAAGCGTGTATGGTGAGTTTCGGATTTGATTAGCCACAAAGCCAGAAGCACAGCAGTGAAAGCACAGCGGAGTTCTTTGCCCTTTTGGGGATGGATAGCATCGACAATGGTATCATATCTATGATGTCACTGTCCAGTGCCGGGCGGGTGCGAATGACACACCACTTGGGTGCCTCGAGCAGGCTTCAAAACAGCAGACCGCCTTTCAACACACTGTGATGTATAATACTTGCGAAGCTCAGACACGGGGTGCACACCCTATATTATGATTTAGCAGATAGTGTACCAGTCGGCAAGATATCTACACTGCGAGTCTTCTTCTCCAAATACACAAACTCAGATGACATGGCATGTCAAATATTGCTTTGCATAAGTTGGTATTGACTGATCACCAGGCGAAATTTGATAACGGCGGTTGACCAACGTGGAAAAAAGTTGTCTGGATCGGAGGCCGCCTTTCACGCCAAGCATAGCCAAAAGCGGAGGTAAGGCGATACAGTAGTCCTAAATTATTCAGTCTTTCGTCCGCCGTGCATGCTCACAACCGTGCGGGCCCCAGTTTTCGTGGGTCGCTCACGAGGCCCGGCGCTTCACAACAGGAACTTTGTATTGATATAGATTTTTGACTCATATCGGCGCGTGGCAGTACGACACGGCAGTGGTGCTGGCTCGGGCGAAGTGCAGCGTGCAGCAAGCAGCAACAAGAGCGTCCCGGCTAGCACATCCCGCAGCATCGGCCATTTGCAAGCTTGCCCTTGCATCACAAACATGAGTCGCGGGTTCGACCAAGATCCCCCAGTCAACCGCCGGGGTGGCGGCAGAGCGCGCGCCGTGGGGTCTCGGCAGCGCGCCGGTCGGCAGGATCATTGGCACAAAGCAACGATCAACTTTCACGGGGTCTCGACATGGGGCGCCATGCGCCGACTGCACGAGTGTGTGCAAGGTTTACGGCTGCTGGCGAGGCACAGTGGCGGCGCTGCCCTCACCATCATCACCGGCGAGGGGAGCCACTCAGTGACGCAGCCACAACGGGGTGCATCGGATGATGACGAGTCGACAGCAGACGGAATCGCCGCTACATTACACGACGAGGTGCGTGCATGCGTGCGCGTGAGCGTGCGTGCATGCGTGCATGCGTGCGTATGCCAGGTGGTCATGACTGACCAAGTAAGTCTTACATGTCAAACGAAGGATGCTCGCACGACTGGCATGACCTCTTGCCTCTGTTCGCACATATCAAAGCTGCCTCTGACTGCCGACCAGCCTTGATTATGTTACCAGCAACGCTACTACGGACAAACTTGACCCCGTACACCTGCTTTGCACGGCCGCGATTGTGCAGGTCATTGAGTACATCCTCCGCCACGAGCTCCCATTCAACCAACCGGACGGCAACTCTGGACACTTCACCATCTACCTGACAGAGTGAAACTCTGGAGGCGCCCGCACAGCAACATCAACTATGTTACAATGTGGGCATCGTACAAGAGCAAGATCTTGGCATTTGAGCCACTCGCCCAGCCCTACCTGACACCAGGGCAGCCCCATAGATCATCGGCGCCAGCGCCGGAGCACGCTGAAGACGTGCCAGGCGCTGACTGCATGCACACAGCTGCACAGCCTGCAGGTCTGTCTGTGGCACAGTTGGCTCTGGTGCAATCTACAACCCACCCAGCGACTTACAAGCACACACAACGGCATGAACAAGACTGTCAGACTTGCTTGGCCACCATGCGTGTTGGCCAAACGAAAGCGCACAAGTGCCCGTGCAGGTGCCTCCTCTGCTAGCCAGCCGCAGCGCTTGCTTTGCTGGTGTTGCAGAGCCATCATCACATCAGATGTAACACGCAGGACCTGCATGTTGATCTATGTGTTTGTGTAACTTGCTTGCATTTGCCTGCAAATCTTCAAACGACGAATTGTGGCCAGAGTTAGCGCCGGCAGCGGTGTCGGCGGGGGGCGCAGGCAGGTGCGCACACATCCAAGAGCAATGGCAATCCTGGTGACTCCAGTGTCACCCCGGACCAGCAGATGCTGGGGCAAGCCTTCCCAACCTGCCATTAGCAACCAGCTTTCAAGGCCTTCGACCGAGCTGCGGACTGCCACGCCTGCAAACGGCCAAAAACAGGTGAAACCGCCTCCTGCGCTTTCGCCTTCACATGCCAAGTGCACTGCGTCCGCCACAAATAATTGTGGCAACCTCATTATGCTACGATAAATTTCCTGCACTAGGCTACACCCTCCTACAGTCCTCCGACCTAAGTACAGTAGCTGCATGTGTGCAGCTACGACAAACCTGGCGACGGTCCGTCCATGTCCACATACAGGTAAGTTGCTGGGCTCGGTGACCATCACGTAAGCGTGTGTCCGCAGGGAGCGAGGGCGACCCTGCGAGCGTCAAAGCTCGACTGACAGCACATGTTTCGATTCAGGTGAGCCGTCTTCGCTTCGTGTTGTGAAGCAACTTCTGCAGCGGTCATGGTAGTGTATGACGGGCTCTCATGCGCCGCAGCGGCGCCCAAACACTGAACGTCGTGTTTGGCGCTTGCTGCAGTCGCGCTCTCGTGCACTCGCGCACGCGCGTTGCAATTCTGCAAACCCAAGCTCTGCGAGTGGTACTCCAGGATCTGGTGGCGTAATCCGGCGTGTGTGCAGCTGCACACCCGCCGGGGGTATGTTGGGGATTCCCTCAAGATCCCCCGAAAAAAAATTGGCCACCCGCTTACAAGTGCGAAACCGGTGCTGGGTATGCTCCTGGAAGGCGTGAAACCCAACCAGGGGTATGCCTTGACGCCCGGCCCGCAGCCCACGCGGCTGTGTAGAGTCCACGCTGTGGACCTCCAAATAATCAGCCACAGGCGCTGGCTTCGGCCTCGCCTCACGGCACTCCAAACCACCCTGGGTTCAACGCCCTCGGGAGGGGTGATCACTTGCAGTGTCATATATCGCATGCCTGTCGGCCCATACATGCCGCCCATCAGCATTACCGCAGCTGTTCTTGCCATCATCCTCAGCATGTGCACAAAGCACAGCCGCGCCCCGTCCTGTGGGCATCAGAGGGCAATATGTGCCCTGCACCTCACGGTTCTAGCACGGCCAGACTAGCCACCACAACTGCCTTGTACCCAGTCACTGAATTTGACAGGGCCCGCATGCAGAGGACTGCAGCTGCTACAGCGCAAGGCCGTCCTGCTGCACCCGGCAGCCTCCACCACCCTTGCTGCCAGTTGTGATGGCGTCGAACCGGCGAGGCGCCGCCTGTGCAACTGGGGCCGGCGGCGGCGCCGCCGCGTGAGCAGGCCGCAGAGGGCCACCATGACGCCCCTGCAGGGCGGCAGCTGCTGGGCGTCGCTGTCATCGCCATGCGCGTTTCAGCACTGCAGGGGGGTTTAGTCCCATTTCCACGGGGCCAGCGCCGGGGGCGCCAGGGCGTCGGCGCGGCGCAGTGCTGCAAGGCGTGGGCCAGGGCGTGCGCTTGCTCGCAAGGCGCCTCGCCAGTGTTGCCGCTGAACATCACCGCAGGCTCCCCGCAGTCTGCGACAATGTGCGTCTGCTGCAGATTGGCAGATGGGGGAGGTGCATTGCGTGCAGAAGCCCCGGTGTCCGGCGTTGTGCGGCGCACGCGCCCCTGATGGCAGTGATGCTATAATATGAGTAACTTATCTATCTATCCCTGATGAAGGTCAAGCAGCTTGGCCGCCGATCAGCAGCTGTTGAGACACCGAACCAGGCCCACCCCAGCCTGCCACCCACGTTTGGTTTGGAACTCACAAGCACCATGTGTAACACTGCGATCCTGCAAGGTCATAGATGCAGTGCTGCTTGTTCAGAGCTGAAATGATGCCAGCATTGGCTACAACCACACGCCATAAGCACCATGCGTATCAACTGGTGAGGACGATTGTCTACTAGTAAAAAGCAACCAGGTCCGCTACACAGGCAGCCTTGGCAGTGGCAGCCGAATCGGCACCGCCAATGCAGATCAACACCACACTGCAGAAAGCGCACAGTGCTGCTCAAGGCGATACCAAATTGAACATGGAGGACACACCTGCAAACGATGACAAGACACAGAACCACAACATCATCACATGAAGCCGGCGCAATTGGACGCTCAACTGCTTTAAAACGCCAGCTGGTCCCGCAGCCACTCCTGAATGCCAGCCGCCCCGCCCGCCCGCTCTGCGGCCTCATACCCTGACTGCATCAGCACCACCACCCTGCGCCTGCCGCCTTGGCCCCCAGTGCCGCCGCTGCTGACGCACCCATCGGCGCCCAGCAGCTGCGCGGCGGCTGCGGCCCAGCCGGTGGGCGTCGCCGGGCGCGTGCGGCTCTCCTGCGCCTCCGGCACGAGCACGATCAGGATTGCCGTTTCATTCTCCTCCTCATCCAAGACAATTTGGGGCAGCAGCTGCTCCTGAGAGAGGCCCTCCAGCTGCGCCGCGCCGCGCGCCGACGCCGACAGCGCCTCCGGCAGCGCGGCTCGCGCGGACAGCGGCGCGGGGCCGCCGGCGTCGCGGCTGTGGTCGCTGGCGGCATCAGGCGGGTCCCGCAGGGCCGCAAGGACGCCGCGGCAGAATGCGCTGCTGCGGGCGGCGGCAGCCTGCCGGACTGCGGCGCGCTTGCCTGCGAGAACAGGTGGGTGGTGCGATCAAGGGCGGCTTGATCACGGGGTGTGGGGGGGGGGAGATATACAAGACAGGTCGGTCAGGCATCACGTTGTTTGCTGCAGGCGACAATGACACCCTGCTGGGACCTCAGATGTGCCCACGCACCTGCTGCTAGGACCTTGGCGGGGAGGGGCTCGTCGTGCCCCACACCATCTCCAGCAGCAGCAGCAGCAGCAGCAGCAGCAGCAGTAGCAGCAGCAGCAGCGGTGTCCGGCCGCCGCAGCTGCGCCCGCACAAGCCACTCGTGCGACGTGTACAGCAGGTGTGCGTCGGCGGCGCCAAACACGCCGGCCCCCCAGCCCGCGGCGCACGCGTACACGCGGGACAGCCGCGCCGCGGCATCCGCCTCCGCCTCCGCCGCGCGTGCTTCGGCGCCCGGCCCCGCGCTGCCGGCGCGGGCGGCCGCGGCGGCCGTCGCGACCACCCACGACAGCCAAGCAAGATCACTTGCTTCTAACGAGTCCAGGTCGCCCTCCGCCACAGCCGCCAGCTGCCCCACAAGCGCGAGCCCCTGCTGCCGCTGCCGCTCTGCCGCCTCGGCGCCCCCCTCTCCGCCGCCGCCGTCGAGGGCGGTGCCGCCGCTGTGTTTGACCAGGCCGCCGGGCAGTAGCATCCCCGACCACGCGAGCGCCCAGGCCGCGCGGCAGGCATCCTCCGCAGAGCACTCCACCGCCGCGTCGCGGCAGCGCGCCGCCAGCGCCAGCAGCGCGCGCGCAGCCGCGCCGCTGCAGTGGCGGCTCTGCGCGAGCGACCAGGCGACGGCTGCCGCGTCCTTTGGCGGCCACGCGCTCAGCGGGGGCAGCGCGCCCTCGCCGTCCCCGCAGCTGGGCGAACCCCTGCCGTCCGCCCCGTTGATCCACGCCACAACGCCGTCAAACAGGTCAGGGTCGTACGCCCCCGCAGCAGCCGCCCCCC